ATATGTTATTTGCCTGTTCATTTTGTTCAGTGTGTTCTTTGTGGAACATTAATCCTTTATCATGATATAAGTAACCACATTAATTCCTCCTCTTCTTATTTTTGCCTTATGGTTTGTGCTTCTGAGGTTTTTATTTAACAAGTTTTTCCCCATCTCTAGGTTACAAAGATATGTTTATACACTTTCTATTATTGTTATGGTTTCACTTTTCACATTTAGTTCTTTAATCCATTTGGAGTCCACTTTCGTGTGTGGTAAGGATCCAGTTTTAGTTTTTCCCATATAGAGAGGCAAGTTTCCCAAGGCCACATGGTAAAGAATCCACCTTGATGTGTAACATTCTCATATTATGTATTGTTCCCTAAATATTACATATGTCTGTACCTAAGCTCTCTCTTTTCTTGCATTGAACAATGGTTTATTTTTGTGCCTAAGTCCTCCCTTCTTTCCCTTTCTTTCCCTCCCTCCTTCCCTGCCTCCCTCCTTCTCTCCTTCCCATCCTCCCTTTTCTCCTTCCTCTCCTTCCTTCTTTCCCTCCCTCCCTCCCTCCCTTCCTTCCTTCTCTCTCTCTCTGGCTTTGTAAAGTACCTTAATATTTACTTGGGTAAGTAAAGGCTATTTTAGTTATTTGAAGAAATTTTGCTTCTCTACATATTTTAGAGAACGTTTATTTGCTTCCTCAAATAATTGAACAGAAATTTTTTGGCATAAAATTTATTTTTCCTTATAACTATTTATAGATTAATCTGTTACAGAAGAATTAAGTATTTTTTTCTGAGACAGGGTCTTGCTCTGTCGCCCAGGCTGGAGTGCAGTGGTGTGATCTTGGTTCACTGCAGCCTCGACCTCCCAGGCTCAAGCAATCCTCCCACCTTAGTCTCCTGAGAAGCTAGGACTACAGGCAAATGCCACTATGCCATTTTAATTTTATTTTTATTTTTATAGAGACAAGTTTTCACTGTGTTGTCCAGGCTGGTCTTGAATTTCTGGGCTCAAGTGATCCTCTCACCTTGGCCTCTCAAAGTGCTGGGATGAGAGGGATGAGCCACCATGTCCAGCCAGAACTGAATCTTTTATTCCAGTTGCGCCATGCAACAGCATAGATATCTTGCCATTCGTTCAGGGCGTCTTCAAACAGATGCTGTATTTTATGAACTGCTTTTCTAATTCAGAGAATTCATTGATTTAGATAATCACACAACTTTTTTCTTTTGATCTGTTAACATGATAAATTTGATAGGTAGATTTTCTACTGTTGAATCATTTCTGTAATTCCTGAAATAAAGCCTACTTAATTATACTGTATGTATTTTATATATTTTTTATGTATTTTAAAAAATAAAATTCAATTAGCTAATATTTGAGTTAAGATTTTTAGTGTCTGTATTTATAATGAAATGAATATTTTTTATATTCTTTTTTAATAATTTCATTCTCTGGTTTTAGAATTAAGATTACATTAGCATAATAAAATTATCAAAGTAAATTTCTCTCTTTTTCTATTTTCTGTAAAAGAAAACTTTTAGGCTGGGTACGGTGGCTCATGCCAGTAATCCCATCACTTTGGGAGGCTGAGACTTGAGGATCAGCTGAGGTTAGGAGTTCAAGACCAGCCTGGCCAATGTGGTGAAAACCCATCTGTACTATCAAAAAAATACAAAAAATTAGCCAGGCATGGTGGTACCTGCCTATAATCCCAACTACTTGGGAGGCTGAGGCAGGAGAATCACTTGAACCTGAGAGGTGGAAGTTGCACCACACCATTCTACCCAACCCTGGGCAACAAGAGTAAAACTCCATCTTAAAAAAAAAAAAAAAAAAAAACCAAAAAAAAAAAAAAAAAAAACCACTTTCTTTAAGGTGGGAATATCAGCTTTTTAAAAAGTTTAGTAAATTCAACTGGAAAACTGAAAAATGATGTGGGACTTCTTTTTTTTTCTTTGAGACAGGGTCTCACTCTGTTGCCCAGGCTGGATTGCAGTGGTGTAATTATAGCTCACTATAACCTCATGCTCCTGGATCCAAGCAATCCTCCTGCCTCAGCCTCCCAAGTAGCTAAGACCAGGTGAACACCATCGCTCCCGGCCAATTAAAAAAAATCTATTTTGAGACAAGGTCTCACTGTGTTGCTCAGGCTGGAGTGCAGGGGCTATTCACAGATTATAGAGTACTGCAGCCTCAAACTCCTGGGCTTAAGCAATCTTCTTGCTTCAGCCTCTCAAGTAGTTGGGACTATAGGTGTGTGTTATTGTACCTGGTTTAGAACTTTTTTAAAATCAAGATTGGTTGACTCCCATTTTAACTTATTTAATATTATTGGTCTATTCAGGTTCCATATTTTTGTGTCAGCTCTAGCATTTTATATTTTTCTAGGAATTTATCAGATTTTCAAAGTCATTAGGTTTATAACAGTTTATTATATTTTTAGTCTCTATGCTCTCAACTTCAGTGTCTCTTGTATGGTGGGGAGAGGCAGAGATGTTCTCTTGCAGAAACATCAGTAAGACCCCTGATTTGGGATCTGATTGCCTGACAGTGGACTACAGGTATGGGAGATCTCTCCCAGCCCTGGGGCCTCAGAGAGCATGTGGACCGCCTGCATTTGGCATTGCTCTTTCAGAGAGCCCTGTACCCTGACTGAGAGGAAAGGAAGAGAGATGACTGAGCTCAGACTTTCCAAACCCTTACTTCTGATTGTGGGCCAGAGCATGGCAGCCTCACCCATGTGGCAGTGATGGGCTGGGGGCTGGTGGCTGGGGCAGCATCTTCCTCTGCTTTGCTTCTTGGCTTCTCACACTGAGTTCCTTTTCATGCAAATCTCAACTCCGTGGAGATGATTGCTTCTTGTCTTTTAGGCTTCATGCATGCATTAAGTGACCACAGGAGCAGCTCCAGAATGTTTATATTTAAAGAACTTAGACCTTGGGCACTCTTGATGGATGGAGGGGCTTGAGATTTATTGGAGGCTAAAGCCACCCCAGGGTGCCCACACTGCACCCTGACACACTATGCCATTCTGCCCAAGCACATCTCAGGTCGCCTGATGGGCCACAGTTCCCTTTATCCTGAGACATGAGTGATGGAGGCAGAAATTTTGGAGCAAAACAGTTGGGGGTTCAACTGACTCAATTGCTTGTTAATTACATGACCTTCAGCAAGAGACTTAGCCACTTCCTCAGCTGTAAGATAGAAGGAGCTATTCTCTCCTCATAAGGCTTTGGGAGGATGGAATCAGTCAGGGACCTGGCAGGAAATAGAGGCACACACAGATGACAGGTGCATTAAATGAAGTGCAGAGGTATGGGCAGGGCTGTAGAGACAAATTGTGATATCGAGGCACCAGAAACTGATGAGTGGAGGCTCAGGCTGGCAGGAAGTCATGTCCTTCCATAGGACTTCAGGGCTAGAGTTGAGTAAGTGGGTCTCAGGGAAGCCCAAAGATGTAGCCACCACCAGGACCCCTGGGACCAAAGTGCGTGGGGGGCATGGAAGTGTGGGGGTGGGGAAAGGCAAAGAAATACCCAGAGCCCCTTCTCCTCACCTCCCTATCTCCATTGGTCAATCCCAATCAGAAACCAAAGGACAAGGGGACTAATTTATAAGGATCAGCCTCCCAGATACAGAGGAGAGCCCAGAGGGCTGGAGCCCAGGGGGAGTGCAAACAGAGAACCCAGCAAAAAGGCCAAATGTGATCACTTCTGTAGATAATCCTGCACATAGTAGGTGGCCAAGAAGTGCAGTGTCTCCAAGGCTGCTCAGCAGGCTCCAGCGTATCCTGTGTTCAGTGTCTCCCCGGGTGCCCGTTCATGTGGTTTCTTAAGAGCCTTCGCAACAGCATCTTACTGTTTACAAATGGAATACCTCATGCCAAAGCAAGTGTCCCAAAGATCAAACTGAAAATGAAACCGCAGAGTGGAGGGGATAGCAAGGAGAGGAATTAAGCTGCAAAAGGGACCCATGAACTAAGAGTAAGGCTTATCAAAAGATGCCAAATGTACAGGGTATGAGAGTAAGAACAAACATGCTGAAAATTAAATATGAAATGGGTAATTATGTAGTAATGAGATTGAGGACATTACAAAGGACATTGCCATTTAAACTACCACATCTCAACACGGTAATGAACGAGAAAAACCCTCCAGCTTTGTAATTATAATGATAGTTGCCATAACAACTTAGTATCTCTCTCCCTGTGCATCCATCTCAAGACTATATTTTTAGTAATGGCTGTGTCTGAGTATGTATTTTTCTTTATATAGCAGCTAATTTTTCAAATTAATGATCTTTCAAAAAAATTCCATTTTCATTCTCTCTGAAAGTGTAAAAGTCTCAGGGATAATTAGGGAAATGAGCAGGTGTGAAAAGTCCCTTATGAAAAATGCTATAAAAATATTGATGCCTTGACAATATTTGTTTCAACAGAATGTTCTCTAGCCCTGCACACTCTATTGTTCCTTGCCAAGCAGCTTAACATAAATCTCCTCTGTGGGGCTCATAAATATTTGAAAAATTATTAGCCGTGTAAGGTCTTTGAGGATTATTAGACAAGTATGGATTTATGTTGCATAACAGAAACTGGCTTAGCAGAATCCTGTCTAAGGAATGAATGAATGGACAAACACGGGCTTATTTTGCTTAACAGAAGTGCACTTAGCAGATTCTCAACTGAGGCAAACAATGGTTGACTTTAAAGAACCATTTGAAGAACTCAGAAACCAGGGGGGATTCTGAACTGCCACTTTGGTTTCCCAGTTTGCCCCCACTGCTGTCCCTGACTGGATTGTCTGGTTTACAGCCTGGCTGACATCCAGGGAGAGTCAGTGCTTTCTGGAGCTCCACTTACACTATGTGGAGAGACTCACAGCCCTTGCCGAGGGCTCCAGACCTGAGTTAAACAGACACATTATTAAATTGAGAACAAAAAAGTCCTAGAGAGAAGCACTCTTTGGCTGATGCCATGAAAGACTCTAGGCAAGATTAGTGATGCAGAAGGGGTTATTGACATTTTCTGTGTTTCTTGTACTCTGTTGGTTTCTGTGGAAGATGCAAAGTTAGCATATTAATCACAGAGCTTATCAGTGCGGTACAGGAAGCCATTAAGAGTCTGTCTTGTGGTGGTTGTCCAGTGGAGAGTAGAAGAGCCAAGCTGGTGAGCCTTGAATCTTACCCAGAGGGGTTAGATTTACATGGGATTAGCCAACCCTGCAGATTCTTCGGTTGGGGAGCAAGGTTGTGAATGGGTATTTAGGGAGAATGGCTGGTTGCCTTGAAGGAAGGGTGGACTGCAGGTCAGAGAGGCCCAAAGCAGGGAGACTGCTGAGCATGGATTCCCATTATCTGCCATGGGTCTCTGAGCCATGGGCTGAGTGATGGGCAGTGGGAACAGAGGAAGAGGCAGATTAAAGAATGTGTGGCCTGAGAGCAGCGGGACTCACTGCTGTGTATTAGATGGTGAAGGAGAGATGGGGCCAAGATGACCAGGGAGATCTTCATCTGAGAAGCTGAAGAATGCGGGACCCTCCCAGGCAGATAGGCAGGAGTTGGGAGGTAGGATAAAGCTTGTAGACCAAGAAAATGAGGTCAGCTTTGCCACCCTATCTTCTTAAACTTCATGAGCTCTGGCTGTGCCCTGCACATTTCCAGGACAGGCAGCACCAGAGACAGGGAGCCAGAGGTAGACAAAAGGACGCTCCAGGAACAGTGCGGTGGGCAGCTGTGTTGGGAGAACTGGCATCAGTGCAATCAATTCTTGTTCTAAATTGTTCTGCTTGCTTTAATTATGGCCTCTCCAGGGAAAACAAACAAGCAAGCATTAATAGGGAGAGCAGTAATGAGTGGGTTCATTTCTTGATTCCAGGGACGTGTTGAGAGGCATGTTTGGGTGGGGCCTTCTCTGGATACTTACCAGACACTGCAGAGCAGGTGTATGTTATGTTACTCACCTAAGTGGTGCTGAAAAGAAGTAAAATGTCTTCAGGACTCATGGGTTTGGGGCCATTGAGATGTATACAACCTGACTTTAAATATTGGTTAAAGGCAGAAGAGCAGGGTTAGTCCAGGCCATCACTGACTTGCTGTGTGTTTCCTGGGTGAATCTGGGACTCAGGATCCTGTGTAAAATGAGAGGGAGAAGATTCATCTTAAATTTGGACTCTGTCAGAATTACTTAAGGAACTTCTTAGATATGCTCATGCTTGAACCCCCTCTTTAGGAGATTCTGAAGGTCTGGGGTGCAGCCTGGGTGTTTGCTGTTGAGCAAGCTCTGGAGGTTCTGAGGAAGGTGGTGCAGGACATAGTCCTGGCCTGGGCAGCCTCTGCAGCCCCTCTGGCCAGGATGCCAGGCCAGCCTCTTGCTGACACTTCATACAGCTTGCTGGAACACTGGGTGTGTTGCTTGCTGCTGGAGGCGCTTTCCGTTTCACCACTGAAGACTGTGTTGTTGTCTGGAGTGCCTGGTTTCGGGAGTGAGCCCTGGGGATAGGCAACGGAGGACAGCGGGCGGGGATTCAGGAAGGGCTGGGGAGCAGAGAATGGTGGGTGGGGAAGGGGACCCTCCTGCCCTGTCACCCTGGAGACTTCTGCTGGCTCTGGGTTCTGGAGCATGCTGGGGTTTGACAGGCAGGTCCAAGTCCTCCTGGCTCCCCACGACAGGCCCTGCCTCAACCAGCAGCCTCTTCCTCTCCCAGTCATTCTGCTGTGGCCTTCAAACTGGGAGCCTGGAAGACCGGCCTGAAAGATGGCCTGGTTGAGTGGCCTGTGCAGGAAGATAATGACAGCTGTCCTGGCCCAAGCCCTGCCCACTGTGGGGGTCTCAGGAGCCCCCACTCTGAGGAAGTCCTCACTTCAGGGCAATGGTGAGGCCCTGACTCAGCTCAGTGGCATCCTAGGATCATAGGCCAGTGCAGGGCTGAGGGTCAGTCTATCTCTGTCAAATGCTTCATGGCTTCCCAAAGACATCTATACCTGAATATCTAGAACAGGGGACAGTTAGGGAATCTGGCAAAAAGTTAGGGAACATGGCAAAACAGACTTTGCAAATGTGGTTAAGGTCATCACTTAAGAGAGGGTGACTATCCTAAATTTTTTGGGCGAGCCCATCTAATCACATACTCTCTTAAAAGCAGAGGATTTTCTCTAGCTGAAAGGCGGAAAGATGTGGCAGGAAGGGAAGAGATTTGAAGCTGTGCCAGCGCTGGCTTTGAGATGCTGGGCCCACGTGCAAGGACCAGGGAAAGGCCTGGAGGCGCCTGCAGAAGACAGGAGGGGAAACACAGGCAGCTGGGAGGAGGAAAGGCGCCTCAGCCCACAGCCAGCAAGTGGACAGCACCTCAGTCCTACTACGGCAAGGAACTGAATTCAGCCAATACCTGAGTGAGTGAGGAAGTGGACTTTTCTCTGGAGGCTCCCCTAAGGAACCCAGTCCTGCCAACCCCTTGGTTTTGGCCTGGTGACACTTGCATCAGCCTTCTCACCTGCAGAGATATGAGACAGGTGTTGTTTGAAGCCACTAAGTTTGTCATCGTTTGTTTCAGCAGCAAAGGAAACCATGCAGTCCCTGGTTCCCCACATCCCTGCCTGGAGAGCAGAAGCCTCCAGGCCATGGGCCTGGGCTCCGCATAAAGCACCCATGCAGAGTTGTCTGAAGTCGGAGGCTCTTTCTCAAAGGACACTCTGGGCAAAAGGCTGCTCTTGGATGAACCACAAACCCTCTTGTGACCCCTGGATGGCAGCCCTGGGGTAATGTCACCGTCTTTCCCAAGACCCAACAGAATCACAATCTCCGATGGGAGCAGGGCTCCTCCAGGGTCCCTAGCCCCTACTCCCAGGAAACCTTGCTCCCAGAAAACCGGGGAACCTCAGGAATTCTTCATTCCCAGTTCCTGAAACAGAAGCACGGCCAGTGGGAAATCCATGTCTGCAGGGTGGTCAGCAGACAGGCAGGGCATTGAGAGCTGGAGGCTGCTTGAACTCTGATTTACATTAGGACCCCGGGCCAATCTTTTCTCCTCTCAGGTCACGTTTCTCCACCTGTAAAACAAAGGAATGGAACAGAGGGGCCTCAATGTTTTCTTCTAAGATTGAAACTCATTAGCGTCTCTGGGGAAGCAGGCGCCCAGCAGGCCCCCAGGCCTGCGGGGGACGGGAAGGGGGCTGGAGACAGACTGTGGGGCGCAGGGGGCTTTCCTGGGCTTGGTTGCTTGGAACATCCGCCTCCAAGGACCTGCCTCGGCGGGGTCGCTGGGAAAGGGAGGGAAGAAGGAAGGGCGGGGCCCGCCCCCCTGCTCCCGCCCCGCGCCTCCGCGCGCCCCTGTCCGCCCCGGCCCGGCACAGCCCAGCCCAGCCCAGCCCAGCCCAGCCCAGCCCGGCTGGCCGGTCACACGCGCCGCTGGCCGGCCGCCTCCCTCCCACCGCCCGCTGCTCTGCTGTGCCCTGCGCCCCTGCCCTGCGCCACTCTCTGCACCCGCCGCCCACCCGGCGCTCCCGGTGACCGTGACCCTGGCCTGGGCGCGGGGCGGAGCGGGCATGTCCCGCCTGGGGACCGCTGCCCTGGCGCTGGCTCTGGTGCTCCTGTCAGTGACCCTGGCCGGGGTCGGAGCCCAGGGCACAGCCCTCGAGGACCCCGATTATTACGGGCAGGAGATCTGGAGCCGGGAGCCCTACTACACACGCCAGGAGCCCGAGCCCGAGTCCTTCTCTCCGCTGCTGCCTGCGGGGCCCGGCGAGAAGTGGGAGCCGCGCCCGCAGGAGCCCAGGCCGCCCAAGAAGGCCACCAATCCCAAGAAAGTTCCCAAGAGGGACAAGTCGGCTCCGGAGCCGCATCTACCAGGTAAGGAACTTTCTGCGCTGAGCGGCCCGAGGGGGCGCCAGTGGTTGCGCGCCTCCAGGGGACAACTGGCTTCTCCCAGTCTGTGTGTCTGAAATGGGCCAGTCCCTGGAGTCCCTGGTCTCCCCGTTGCAGCCCCTGCCTCCCTATGGGACCATATCTATGCTTCCCGCAGGCCCCGCCCAGTTCCCCAGAACTTGACCTTGACGCTGACCCGCATTTCAACTCTGGCTTATGCCCTTAGGTAAAGAGAGAGCTGTGCAACTGGGAGGCTGCCGGGAGAGTCAAGTCCCTTTTGCGCCACACTTGAAATCCCCTGGCTAAGGAGCTTTCTGCTCGAGACCTCTTCCTTCTCTGCCTATTTCTTCAATCCTCAAATACAGCTGAATTTCCGCTTTGGGGATGTGGATGGCTGGCTGTTTTGGCAGATGGCCTTCTAGAGAAAGTTCTGCCAGTGGGTCTTTACCCAGCCATGTCCGTTCTCAGCTCCCTCCCTCCCATTCTCAGTGGGTCCCTTGGGTCTTCTGCCAGGGGGCAGGATGGCACAGCCCCCGCTGGGGAGTCTGTGCCTGAAGTCTGCTGCAGCCTGGACTCCGGCTTGATGGACAGGGCCGCTGCCTGGCTGCTTGCGGTGCTCGGTCTTTCATGCGCATCTCACACCCTTCTCAAATCCATCTTCAGTTTCTGCCAATCCCATTTTCTTAGGGAAATAACTTCCACTAAATGTCGTAGTTTATTACCCACCTTGGGAAGTGGGGCTTTCTCTAGTTGTTTCAAATGTTCTTTGCTCAAATTGCAGGGGGCTGCAGGCCTAGTGTTTCCAGAGTGGGGCATGAGCAGGAATGTGGCCAAATTCTCTGGCCTTGCAGTGGCCCTTCCTGAAAGGAGATACGTGCGGGTGCCACCGTTACAGGGCTCTGGGTAGGGAAGGCATCGTCTTTGTTTGGTTAAACTGCTCATGAAAGTCGGCAGCCAGGGCAGTGGGAAAGTGGAGGAGGAGGTGAGGACACAGAACTCCTGAAGGGGTGGACCCATCTGGGCACCCCCTCTGCAGAGGACCTGCGTGCTTCCATTTGTGGCCAACTTTGAATGGGCAGGCATTTCAGAGCTGTGTGACAGCCCTGAACACAGCCATCCAGAGTTTCCAGTGTTTCAGGGAGAGTTGTGGGAATTCAGATGTGTAAGAGCCACAGTGGCTTAATAACAGGGTTAGGAGTGGGAAGAGACTCATATTTGTTGAAAATCGACTGTGACTCCATTAGAAGCTTTATGTGCCACTGTCTCATTTAATCCTTTCAGTGGCTCTGAAGGGTGGGTGAGGCTCAGACAGTTTAAGTAACTTGCTCAGTGTCGCTTGCTGGCTTGGGAGATTTGAAAGCCTTTCTCCTGCGCTTTTTAACTTAAGGCCTTTTTGGTTTGGTAGTTTGAATCAAATCCACCTGCATTCTAGCTTTTGTAGTGGCTGCTACGTGCTTAGCTCCACCCTGGGCATGGTGGGGTGGGGTAGGCAGGAGACATGTATGTTGGGTTCTGTACTCACTGCGGGTGGTGCCAAGTGAGAAAGTAGAAGGAGCTCCAGACTGGGAGTCTGAAGAGTGTACCTAACCCCCAAGTCTAGGGCTCATCAGCTCAGGGATCTGGGATCGTGGCTCAGCTTTGTGAGCTTTAACTTCATCATCATTTGCAAATAGAAAGATTGGCACCTGTCACTCACTTTACTTTGTCAATTGCTGTAAAAACCTCTTAATGAAAGCTTCCAGTGTGCCTGCCAGCTTATGTGCTAGTCTTCTTGTGGACCTTTCATTCATTCCCCAGGCCGTTACCAAGAACCTGCTGAGTACCAGTGCTTGGTGAGATTCTAGGAGTGGGGAGAGCAAGACAGGCCTCTTCCCTCACCCCGCCATGGAACTCAGCTGGGGACTCTGAGAAAGTGATCGCAGTTGTGCTGAGGGTTGCACAGAAGTGTGGGGTGTTAAGCAAACAAATAAGCTGGGGGAGCTCACTTCTCTGAATTTGGGGGGCTGGGGCAATGCTTCCCTGGAGAGGTGATGTTTAAGACCTAGCAAGTAAGTCAGCTTTATTGTCCTGGGGACTCATGCAAGTGACCAGACGTCATTCCTAAGGTAGTCAGGTTTCTTTCCCTACAGAAAACAGCTCAGAAAGTCACAGCCTGGCCCGAGCAGTGTCCACAGACGAATACGTCTGTAGACTCAGGGGTCACATGGGGAGGTGACTGTCTTTAGGCCTTGGAGAAAAAGCTCTTGCCACCCTTGGAATGGGGTCTCTGGAGGAGAAATCAGAACACAACCTGAATTTGCAAGAAAAAGCTCGTTTGCTTTTGGAAGGCCATCTTGCAGGTAGAGACAGGCCATGGGGGAGCCTGTTTATTTGGCACCTAGCCTCTGCTCCAGCAGGAAATGTTGCCAAGCGCAGGGCGGCCCTGGCATCCACCGGGATCTCCAAGCCCCAGGCTGAAAACAGGCCTTCGGAAAATCTAGAGATTTGGGTCAGAGGCCTGTTGGGGCAGCCGCCTCTGGGCCTGCTACCATGTCAGCCTTGTTTCTGATGAGTTCTGAGGGGCTTTTTGAGAACTATCCCCAACCATGGCAAGACAAGTGTGACATTTATCTCGCATTTTTAACTCCTGTCGTTTTTTATTTCGGTGTTTGCTCAGCAGAATTCTCCGCCCTGGGCCAAAGTGGGAAGATTGATTTAAGTGTGAACTTGATTAGGGGAGTCAGTGTCAGTTTTGTGCAGTTCAACTACACTAGGAGAAAATTATTTTTTTTCCACTTTAAGTAGCAGCTTGATCTATATGCTGCTCATGGTGTAATAGAAGAACTTATCTCTGCACTGGATTGTTTTGGAATATCTTAGGAAGGCACTTACAGAGGAAGGAACATTGGACTGTGGCCTGGAGTGTTTAATGCAAACTTCTGTGCTTTGCTTCACTGGATGGATGATGCAATGCTATGTGCCAGGCACTGAGGTGGGAGTGAGGGGTTCAATTTAGAGATGCATAAGTATAAAAGCATATATAACTAATTAAAACTCTATATGTGCTTTATCTTTGCAGATGGTAAAACGTTTTTGGCAGGCCTGTAGGAGGGTTTATGCAAGGAGCCAAGGGCATTGGGGCTTTGATCTTGGTGTGGGCTCTGGCTTCGACCTTTGGCTGTTCTTTCACGCCACCACAGAAATGCCCAATGGGTGTCATATGCTGACATTCATGGAGATCCTTGGAGAACTGAACCCTTTGGCTAATTGAGAGTTGCATTTTCCATGAGTGGCTGACAGACATCCAGAGAAGTAGAGCCCCAATATACTAAAGAGAATGGAATCTTTAAAAACATTTCTTTAAGTTTTTATTTGGAAATAATTATAAACTCACAGGAAATAGCGAAAATAGTACAGTGAGGCCACATGTACCCTTTATCCAGCTCCCCCCAATGATAACCTCTTAGATGATTTTAGTACAAGATACTTCAGCCTTGGAAGGATTGATGTTTTGAGCCAACTGTGTGTTTGTGCGTGTGTGTTTGTGTGTGTGTGTGTGCTTGAGCCAACAGGGGAGGAAGGGGGCTGCCCTCCTCTGCATCGTAGGATGTTTAGCAGTGTCCCTGGCCTCGAAACTGGATGCCAGTAACACCCTCCCCCCAGTTGTCACAACCCAAAATGTCTCCAGACGTTGCCAAATATTCCCAGGGGATTGCGAATCCATTCCCAATCACACTGTTGTATACGGTATCAAAACCAGGAGGTTGACAGTGGTATGGTACTGTTGACTAGATGACATGCCTCGTTCAGATTTGACCAGTTCTTACACGCATTTGTGTGCATGTTCGTGGCAGTTTTAGCACACGCACAGGCTTGTGACACCACCGCCACTATCAAGATATGGAACTGTAGACTCCTTTCCTTAGGTTGCAGTAGGATTTTGGTACTGTACAATTTCTGAGGTCCTCATTGTGAACACTTGTCCATCCCAGAAGTTTAGAACTCTAAGGAACCTAAGTGGACCCTGAGCACAGATTCTTGCTCATTGCAAGATTCTAACAGTGAGCCACCCAGCCTCTGCTCACAGGCTTCCATGGATGGGCTCTCATCATTCAGTGGATTAAGAGTACTGATTGCTAGAGTGTTCTTCCTCATATGGACTTGACAACGTTCTGCTCTCTAATTCCATTTATTTAGCTGCTTCAAATGGAATTTGACAGTTTCTAGATCCCTGCAGTTGGAATGATTTGAGGCCACGGAGTGAATCTCAAGTCCTCATTTTTCATTATTCCAGAGTTAAGAATAACATAAGGGGCCACGTTTTTCACATACAAGTAGGTTTGGGGGTATCTTACTTTGCATGCCGTCTTCAAATTGATGACCCTGGTTTGCAGCCATATTCCTTTTAAAGAATAAAATAGAACAGAAAAATAAACCATAATTAAAGAATTTACCTTTTTCCTCCCACTTGGCAGTAGCAATCAAATCAAATAATAAATTGAACCATTGATTTGAATGACGGATATGAAGGTTTTTTTTTATTTCTCTTCATTGCACATTGGGTTAGAAGTAGGCTTGGATATGTAGCCTTTAAATTTGAGTTTCTGCTTGGTCCTTTGTTCATAGTTCTGTTCATGCGCGAGTGAGAATGTGTCCCTGTTTGAATGTGACCAAACCCGAATCACCGCCATAGTTTTGAGCCCGTGGAATTTGCAGAGGGGGCAGCGAGTCACGTTTGTTTGTGTGTCTGTGTTCAGAATCATTGAGTTTGCATTTTGTAGTGTGCTGTGCCCCAGTTGCAGGGGGAAATAACTAGAGTTGCTCTTTGAGCATATTTGGTTGTAAACAAAGCCTTTTCTGTTGTGTGTGCTGTAAGCCAGTTGGTGAAAAGGGCTTCACATTTAAGCTTTCCTTCTCTTTTCAGGGTATTTTGCTGCATTTGGCTTTTGGATGGAAATGTCTTCTCCTGGGCAAAATGGGAGTGTAAGGATTAGGAGACTGTGTTTGTAAATATTTCAATAAGTATTTTAAAAAGCAATCACAATGCCATTAGCATACCTGAACAATTAATAAGCAATCCTTAATGTCAAATTGTATGCTTACTTTAACAGTTAAATTGAAAGTGTTTTGTCCAGGTAAACTCCCTACAAAATTCCAAGGGCGAGAACGTCATTTCCTGTATATTAGCAAGCAGCTTTCTAAGACACCACCTCTGTTTCCAAAATGCTTTCCAAAGTCAACTATTAATGCTGGCAAATTTCCTCTTGCCTGTGCCCAAGATTCCAGAAACCAGGGCGCGTGCATGGATAATAAAGGAGGACACTCCCATGTTTGGGGAAGTTGGCCTGGTGGCTCTTAAAAATGCCACTGTGTTTTCTGTATGCCCCAAGTGTCCATGGCATCAAGGTGCTTATGGTACCTTTAGTGTGGGGACAATGGCAGCCTGGCCCTGGAGCCTTGATTTTGGAGGTGGGGGTTTTCTCTGGATGTCCCTGAGAGTCCAGGAAGCCTGAGCTCTCAGTCTTGGCATCTCCAGCAGTGGCTCTGCTTCTTATGGCCCCTTCAGGCCCCAGCCATTGCAGCTGCCGCTCTGGAATCACAAAACCTAGGAAATTAGGGTTACTTTGGATGGCCACTGGAAGTGTTGGTATCCACATCTGGCTGGCAGCTCATTGGGCATCATAGGATGTTTGGCATGGCACAAAACGCCTTCAAATCTTAATTTAAGTCTCATTTCACAGACTCGTATGGAATGTCTGGTTCATGCTAGGCATAGGTAGGTGCTCCGTGGTAACTTTTTTCAGGGTTGAGAGAGAGCTGAGATCTCTGGTTCTCCCATTCATGGGCATTTGAGACTTCTCCAAGCCTCAATTCCTCATGGGAACATGACATGGGAACAATTAATAACCCAAGCTTTTGGAGGAGGTGTGCGATTGGATGGGTCAATGCCCAGCCTCCCAGCCTTCCAGCCTCTGGAGGG